AATTGGTCATGCCTAACCAGAACTCCTCTGGTTCCATGACAAAACATTTTCCACTCAAAACTCATCTTAATTGAAAACCATTTTCAAGATTATACAAAATTGTAGCTTTTGTGACTAAAAACTATAACATCGGTTTTTAGAAGACCAAAACTTCGTAATTAGTATTAATCTTACAATTAGATGAGCTTTTAAATTCACTATATTTTTGGACACGTCTTCACCAAGATATTATTTGGAATAAATCTTTATTTCAAATAATGCACGACGTCATCCTACCACGCGCTTGACACCATACAGGCTATTCCCCATGAGCCGTTTCATTTTCTCATCTTCCCAAACCCCAGTTTGACATGTGTCAAATTCATTAATGGCACGTACTATCAAAACTGCTCACGTTCTTCAAATCATATCACCAATACTTAAACCGCCAAAACTTTTCATGATTATTATATTTTAATAATAAAAAAAAAACGTTTCCCTTACCACCCCCCACCCCAACCCCCCCACCCTCAACTCACCTATAAATACCCTTCTTCCCCACTCATCATCTCTTTACGCTTTCAAAACCTGCAACAAGACTCTGACGAACCAAAAACCTGCAACTTCCATAAAAATGGCATCCTCATCTGCTTCTCATGAATCCAACAATGACGACAGCCATGTACAGTCAACAGGCGCTGACAGCCGCACACTTGTCTTTTTGCCCATGAAACCAAACAACCACGCCATTGAACTGTGCAACACCCTATTTGACGACCGTTTTGCGATAATCATAGAGTTCTTCAAGAATTGCATCCTCCTCCCTGCCCTCACACTAGTGAACCCTAGTGTACCATTAAAATAGGTGCAACAGTACTGGCAAACCTACGAATTTCATCCAGCCAGTCACGGTATAATGGGGGATATGGACGCCCCAAATGATATGATATGCTCGCTAAAGATATCGCGAGCCAAAGTTTCTAGGGTGTTATGCATTCCCACAAGAAAGGAACTCGGGATTGAACAGTACGACGAACCACCATCCTCTGAAGACATCCTCTGGTTCGTAAAGATGCTAGGTTACAATCGTGAACTATGAAATGTCTCAGACTTCAAAAGAAAATTCCTCCCGCCAATGTGGAATTTGTTCTTCTCCATCCTCAACCGATCCCTCACCTGCAAGCTAGGTTCCCTAGACCAAGGGAATCTCAACATAATGACAATTATCTATGGGCTTTTCTTCAACCTAAATCTCGACTACGCCTTCCACATTTACAACGAGATTCATGCGACCGTGATCAAAAAGTACAAACTTCTAGCCGCAGGAAAGCCACTCTCTGCAGTTCTCTTTCCCTGCTTCCTTGCCCTCTTCATTGGGGACGCGATGAGGAAGCACGAACTACCTGCTGTGGAGCCCTTCACCCCGGTATACAAGATGCAAGGACACTGCCCAACCCTTTTGAAGGAAGGATACAACATCAACCGACCGTTGTCCCGAGCTATGCTCACTGTCATACCATCGAAAGGTGAGATACGCAAGACCTATGAACGCTCCATGTTGTCCCAAGAACCGAGGGCAGCTACCCCGGAGCACTTAGAGCCGTCCCCCCTCCAAGCGAGGGAGCACAAGCGTCATCTTCATCGGATGATGAAGATGATG